TAATTTTGGTTGCACAGTAACATGTTGTTTTGATGGTTACCGCTTTGTAATACAGTTTGTGATCTGATACTGCTGGGCTGCCTTCCTTCATCTTTTTTTTTTCGTTGATTCCCTTTTGACCTTAGATATTCTTGAGCTTTGATATTCTTGTTCCTCCAGATGAATTTTATTATTTTTTCTAGATCTATAAAGTAATTTGTTGGTAGTTTGGTATGGTACTGAATAAGTAGATTAATTTAGGTGTTATTTTTATTATATTGGCTCAGCCTACCCATGAGCAATTAACACTTCTCCAGTTGTTTAGATCTGTCTTTATTGGTGTGAAGTGTTTTATAATTGTGTTCATATAGTTCCTTTGTGTGTGATGAGGTTTGGGGGTGCTGGGACCCTGAGAATACCAAGGCAGAGTTGCCTGGAATGAATTCTTAGGGAACCTGTGAGAGAGTGAGGATGGTGCTGGGGCTTATATGGGAAAGGGGCATGGTAAAGGAATGGCAGAGATGCTAATTAGGTAATCTAGAGGTCCAGGTATCTTTGGGAGCTAGGGATGGGAAAGTATAGGAAGTACACCAGACATTGAGGGAGTTGTCAGAGGCTTGGACCTTGGGGATCTGGCACAAGAGAGAATCCTTGGGCCAGCCAGGGACAAAAATCCTTGGACCAGGCATGCCTCTGTCTGTTCTGATAAGAGAATGTGTTCTACAATAAGAGAAAACTTTCTCACAGAATAGGGGCCTACTGAGAAATTGGGAGTCTTCCAGAGACATGATCCTAGGGCTAGAGCCAAAACACCCCATCATTTGTCTTGGCAGATAGACTGCCCAAAATTTTAGATTGTCTGAAGTTATTTTAAATGGAATTTTTCTTTCTATATCTTCCTGCTGGGTTTTGTTGGTAAGATTTAGAAATGCTGATGATTTGTATGGGTTTGTTTTATATCCTGCAATTTTGCTAAAGTTATTAATTGTTTCAAATAGTTTTTTAGTTGACTCTCTAAAGTTCTCTAAGTATACCATCATATCGTCTGCAAAAAGTGACAATTTTCTTTCCCCACTGCCTGTGCTTATTCTTTTGATTTCTTTTTCTTATTGCTATAGCTAGCATTTCTAGTACAGTATCGAATAATAATGGGGATAATGTATATTCTTGTTTCCTGCTGATCTTTTGGAAAGGCTTCTAGTTTATCCTCATTATAGATAATGCTTGCTCTTGGTTTTAGATAGATAGTACTTATCATTTTAAGAGAAGCTTCTAGGGGCAGCAAGGTGGCGCAGTGTATAGAACACCAGCCCTGAAGTCAAGAGGATCTGAGTTCAAATTCAGCCTCAGACCAAACACTTGCCTAAAAATAAAAAAAAATTTTAAAAATAAGAAAAGCTTCCTTTATTCTTATGCTTTCTAGTGTTTTTAATGGAAATGGGAGTTATATTTTGTCAAAAGCTGTTTCTGCATCTATTGATATAATTATAGAACCAGCCTTGCATTCCTGTCATAAATCCAACTTGGTCATACTATAAGAGGTTTGTGATATATTGCTATAATCTTCTTACATTTTATTTAAAGTTTTATTTTTATTTAAAAAATTTATGTCAATATTTATTAGAGAAATTGTTCTTTAGTTTTTTTTTCTGTTTTTGTTGTGTAGCTATTTTAAAACTTTTTTTTGGTGAGGCAATTGGGGTTAAGTGACTTGCCCAGGGTCACATAGCTAGTAAGTGTCAAATGTCTGAGGCCAGATTTGAACCCAGGTTCTCCTGATTCCAAGGCTGGAGCTCTGTCTACTGTGCCACCTACCTGCCCCAATATTTTTAGCTTTTTTGTAATCAAAATTGTCTATTTTATCTCTTATAATTCTCTCTTTACCTTGTTTTATTGAGATTTCTTCATCTATCTACAGTGGAGAAAGATATCTCCTTTCCTTTATCTTTAATTTATTCATAACGTGACTTTTTATGTTTGTCATGTTTTCACTTGGACCTTAATGTGATATGTAGTCTATAACATTGGCCTAACCCTGTTTTTTGCCAGATTGCTTTCTAATTTTGTCCAATAGTGAATCCTTACCCTGGTAAGTAGGGTCTTTGGGTTTATTGATTGGATTCTACTTCTATATTTGTTTGCCTCCATGTGTTGTACACCTAATCTTTTTCAATGACCAACTTTAAAATTTTTTTTAACCAAATACTGTTGATTATTGCTTTTATAGTATAATTTGAGGCCTGTTACTGCTAGAACCCCTTTCTTCCCAATTTTTTATTATTATTATTTCCCTTGAGATTCTTGAACTTCTGTTTCTCTAGATGAATTTTGTTTTTAGCTCTATAAAGTAAACCTTTGGCAGTTTGGTATGGCACTAAAGAAGTAAATTCAGATAGTATTATCATTTTTGTTATATTGGCATAATCTAAATATGAACAATTAATATCTCTGATTTCTTAAAGTCTTTTCCCCCTCGTTTTCCCTTTTTTTTTTTTTTGGTTTTTGGTGAGGCAGTTGGGGTTAAGTGACTTGCCCAGGGTCACACAGTGAGGAAGTGTCAAGTGTCTGAGGCCAGATTTGAACTCAGGTCCTCCTGACCCCAGGGCCAATGTTTTATCCACTGTACCACCTACTGTCGCAGTCTTTTTTTCTCTCAAGAGTGTTTGTAGTTGTAGTCATATTTTTTCCTATGCCTCTTGGTAGGTAGATTGTAATTATTTTTCATCTTTTGAAGTAATTTTGAATGGTATTTCTCTTTTATCTCTTCCTATTGGGTTTTATTGGTAATATACAAAAAGTTGATAATTTATGTGTATTAATTTTACAGCCCTTTTTTGCTGGAGTTATTGTTTCAATTAATTTTTTTTCTTTTTAATTAATTATTTATTAATTAAGTTATTTTAGTTTTCAGCATTCACTTTCACAAGATTTTGAGTTCCAAATTTACTCCCTATCTCTCCCCTCCTCCCACCCCAAGATGGTGTGCATTCTGATTACACCTTTCCCCAATTTGCCCTCCCTTCCATTACCACCCCCCTTCTCTTATCTTTTATCCCTTCTATTTTCCTGTAGGGAAGGATAGATTTCTATACCCCATTGCCTGTATATCTTATTTTCCAGTTGCATGTAAAGACAATTTTTAACATTTGTTTTTAAAACTTTGTGTTTCAAATTCTCTCCCTCCTTCCTCCCCACCCACCCTCATTGAGAAGGCAAGCAGTTTGATATAGTTATACAAGCGTAGTCATGCAAAACACTTCCATAAGTCATGTTGTGAAAGACTAACTATATTTCCTTCCATCGTATGCTGTTTATTCTCTCCTTTAACCTTGTCCCTTCTCAAAAGTGTTTACTTCTGATTACTTCCTCCCCCAATCTGCCCTCCCTTCTATCATTCCCCTCTCTCTTATCCCCTTCCCCCCTATTTTCCTGTAGGGTAAGATAGATGTCCAAACCCAATTGAGTGTGTGTGTTATTCCCTCCTTAAGCCAAATCTGTTGAGAGTAAGATTCACTCATTCCCTCTCACCTTCCCACTCTTCTCCTCCATTGTAAAAGCTTTTTTTTGCCTCTTTTATGTGAGATAATTTACCCCATTCTATCTCTCCCTTTCTCCTTCGTCCATCACAATCCTCTCTCACCCCTCAATTTTATTTTTTAGATGTCATCCCTTCATATTCAACTCACCCTGTGCCCTCTGTCTATATATATATATATATAGATAGATAGATAGATAGATAGATAGATAGATATAGATAGATAGATATAGATAGATATAGATGTGTATGTATATATATATACCCTTCAACTACCCTAATACTGAGAAAGGTCTCATGAGTTACAAATACAATTTTTCCATGTAGGAATGTAAACAGTTCAACTTTGATTTCTCTTTCCTGTTTACCTTTTCATGCTTCTCTTGAGTCTCGTATTTGAAAGTCAAATTATCTATTCAGTTCTGATCTTTTCATCAGGAATGCTTGAAAGTCCTCTATTTCACTGAATTTTCATTTTTTCCCCTAAAGGATTATACTCAGTTTTGCTGGGTAGGTGATTCTTGGTTGCAGTCCTAGTTCCTTTGACCGACAGAATATCATATTCCAAGCCCTCCGCTCCTTTAATGTAGAAGCTGCTAAGTTTTGTGTTATTCTGATTGTGTTTCTACAATACTTGAATTGTTTGTTTCTGGCTGCTTGCAATATTTTCTCCTTGACCTGTAAGTTTTTAGTTTTTCTTTAGGTTTCCTTATGTGGACCTTCATATCATCTGCAAAGACCATTAATTTTGTTTCTTCCTTGCGTTTGCTTATTCCCTTAATTTATTTTTCTTGTTCTTGCCATAGCTACCATTTCTGGTGCATTCAAATAATAGTACTGATAATGAACATTTTAAGTTTCTCATTGGAAAGCCTTCTAGCATTTCTTCATTACATATGCTACCTCTTGGCTTTAGGTAGGTATATTTACCACATTCAAGAAAAGTTCATTTATATTCCTGTTTTTTAGTGTTGTTTTTTTAAACAGAAAGGACTATTGTATTTTTTGAACTTTTTCTACATCTATTAATATAATCATGTGATTTTTAAAGTTATTATGACTCATTATATATTTTTCTAATATTGAACCAAACCCACATTCCTGGTATGATCCATCAGTGTCATAGTGTATAATCTTTTTAATATGTTACTTTAGCCACACAGGGCTATGTTCAAAGCTTTTCCATCTTGGTTGAATCTATTAGAGCTTATTCTCTATTTCTGTCAGTCAACTAGCATTTATTAGGTACCCATTATGTGCCAGGCACAAGTAAAAGGCAAGAAACAAATAGTCCTTGCTCTCAAAGAGCTTACAGTCTAACGAAGGTGTCAACATACAGACAAGAAAGAACAAACATATACAGGATGTCTACAAGATAAATTGGGGTTCGTCTCAGAGGGGAGGCACCAAGAATTAGGAGGACTAGGAAAGACTTCTTGCAGAAGGTGGAACTTTAGCTGAGACTGAAGGAAATCTGGGAAATCAGGAGGTGGAGGTGAGGAGGCAGAGGAAAATGCTGTCAGGAGATGGAGTGTTTTGGGTGATGAATGGTGTAGAGGCTAGTGTCACTGGATCTCAGTGTCTATAAATTACTAAATTTGAATCCTTTAAAAAGTGATGCATTGAGCTAAAGTTCTTTTTATTTTTCTGTATCCCTGTTCCTTAATAATTTTCATCGCCATTTGCAGTGTTCTCTTAAACTTACCTTCATAGTATTGAGGAATACAAGACTGAATGAAGTACAGTGTTTCTAGTGTGATCTCATTAGAGAATCAAACTTTTAGCTCTCTATGCTCTGATGCCTTTTCTTGCCTGATGTATAATTTTCACTGGTGAGAAAGGGATGCTGCTGCATGGCTTCAAATACTAAATAGCTAAGAATGAGGAGCCAAAAGTTCTAATCTCAATTTTGCTAACTCTTGTGAACCAGGGGAAATCACTTAAACATCAAATACTGCTGTTAGATGTAATATGGAATTTACAACACAGGTAATTGTCCATATTCAAGCCCCTTTGCCTTCCTTCCCACCCTCTTACACATATCAGAGGCAGGTCTAAGTTTAACAAAACCATTTCTAGAGGGACCCCCTGAAATAAGATCCAATTCTGAGTCTTATCTGGAGGATGTTTCTAGGTGAGCTAGGGACTCGTTCAAATTTCTGAATTTATTTTAGAGCAGACATGAATCATTAAACCACCTTGGGAATGCTTCAGCACCCCCAAGAGGGCATCTAAGCCACAGATGTTCAGGACCAGACTTGGTTTCTTAAAAATGCTCTGGACTGGAAGAAATGGTTTATTTTTGCCCCTGTACCTTAGGGACTCCTTCCCTAGGGTATGGTAAAAGAGGAGCTAAAACTATGAGCATCGGGGTAGGAAGATATGCTCATAGATACCTTGATTATCTTATATTTTCTTGTCCATCTTCAGCATCAGCTTTCCTTAGTTATAAATTAAGACTTTCTATCCTATAACAGACTTAGAGGACTGTGGCAACAAATTCACATTACCATTACTTTGGATTTATATAGCACCTTTCTTCCAAAGTACTCAAAAACAAGTTTTCCAAAATATAATGATGAGTATTTTTCAGTCTGATTAATCTTCCTAGAAGGTGGCTTATAAGACATTCAATATTTGTTGGTATATAGACTTTTAATGAATTAGAATTGAGAGACCCATTCTGTCTCCTTTTGCCCTCTAGTCCTCACTGTGCTAACTTACCTTATACTTTGTCAAATAATCAGTATTAGTAGGATAGGTATAAATATGAATTCTTATGTGATTTCATTTATTGGTATTCTTGTAGATAGCATGTTTTATTTTCCCTTGCTTAGCTCTTGAAGGGAAAGTATGTGTATTAGAATATTGATTAAAATACTCAAATGAATTGTATTGTCCATTATGTATCTTAATGCTTATCACTGACTACAGTGACCCTCAGTTGTCAAATAAAGTGGAGGAGAGAATAAGTATTTATATAGCCAGACACACTGCTAAGTGCTTTTACAAATATTATCTCATTCATCTGAAACCTGTTAAAAAAACAGACAACTCCTCAAATTTCTCTTTGATCAAGATGGACCAATACTGCTGAAATTTTAGAGACATATGAGTAATTGAGAATGGTTTCTTTTTGAAACAAGTATAGAATTAGAGCTGTTAGTGTCCTTTTAATGCCTAATAATTGTAAATATTGGTATGTAATTTGATTTATATAGTGTACACAAACCTAAATTTAAATTTATATTTCTCTGTCTCATCTCTCATGCTCATAAAGGGTGTAGTTGGAGGAACTGGGGAATTTAATAGTGTTAAAAGGCTTTGACTATTGCTGAAGTGTTTCTTTGGACTTCTAGGACAGTAGACTTATTATGGTGAGCATAAAATACAACACCAAACTTACCTTTCCTTAGTTTCCAAAAGCAGAAGCTCCTAAAGAAATACCACCCTCTTTACATGAATCTAAAGAGGTGTTGGTGGACTTTGCACCTCAACTTCAGGGAACAAAGGTTAGACAGTTTGGCAGGGTTTTTTTTCTTTATGTAAAAAGCCTTTTGAATAAATTGGAATGCTAACCCAACAGTTATTTTCTTTAATAAGGAAGAGTTTGGTTCATTTTTATGAAAGCAGCACATTTCAGCTTTGTTTAATTTGCTTCCAGGTTTTATCTTTTGACACTACCAGAATAAAAAAAATGCCTATTATAGCATCCTGGTAGTCACAATGTGTGTATGACTTAACACAGCATCTTCTACAATCTCGACATTTGTATTCTGAATTGAATTATTGTTAAATTCATTAACATGACATCTGATTTTGTTGTTTCAGATTGTAGAATTTAAAAAACCACCACCTGTTACACCACCGCCACCTGTTTCATTACCTGAAGAATCTCTTTCTTCTTCCAGAGTAAGCATTTTCATCAGAGGGAAAGGGCTTATTTGGTTTTTTTGTTTGTTTGTTTGTTTATTTTCAGGGGCACTTATATAGTCTAGGATTAGAACAGTTGTGAAACACTGCATAATCCTTCTTTGCTTCTAAACAGGATGTTGTAGGCTGAAGTGTAGTCATCCTGTAACCACTACAGTTTTGACCTTTTTAAGTAAACTATCCACAAATGCAATCAAGTATCAAACTTAAACATGCTAAGTCTAGAGACTAATTACAATATAGGCAGATCCTTATTTTCTTCTGCCAATTAGAAATTGTTTCCACATGTAGTGAATCTTACACAGGACCTTTATGTCAAGAAATATTGGGAAAACAATCTAAATCTTGGCATTAAGTGCATTCTGCCTCCCCCGCCCCCAATTTTTCAGCCCCCAATTTTTCAGAGACCTTTAGTGTAAAAGTCACTTGGGTACTCTCTCCTCCACCAATGATTAAACTTCCCAACTAGAATAAGAAGTGGGGACTACAGCACAGGACAAACAGTGAAGAAACAACAGAGGCTAGTGATAGGAGCAGAGAGAAGACAAAGTAGCAGTCCCTCCCTTGAAGGTCAGTATACTTCTGGGCTGGTGATGGAAACTCTGGACACACATAGAGGGATAATGTCCAAGTATTGGTAATTCAAGCACATAGATGCCTCAGGTGGTAAGTCTCTTTTGGTATTTTTACAGTGTAATCTTCCTCAGTCCCTCTTATCCTCCACGCCCCACCGAGCACATAGTAGGTACATAAATGCTTGTTGATTTATTTGTAAGACACACCTTGATACTAGATTGTAAAATCAGAATGGTTTGACCTGACTTGACCTAAGGAAATTAACCTGTGGCTCTTAGAGCATTCACATTGAAACTATGGCTTAGTTCTAAAGTTATATTATTTTATTTTGCTCTATACTCTTCAGGTCAAATCACAAACCTCATCCCAAAGCAGCAAAGCTAATGCAAATGGAGTCTAAGGCCACTTGAAGATGATGCTGTAATCCATTTACCCACTCCATCTCCCTACCTCAGTAGGTAAAGGAACTCCAGGCTGGCTGTCTATATCCTCTTCGGAATATAACCATTTCGTCACTGTGGCAGTACTCCTTGAGGTCCTGAAACCTACCCCAGGTGATGTTAGCAGTGAATCTAAGTTCATATTCTTCAGAAAGTCCTTTTCTTCTCTGCCACTATTCATTCCTACTGTAAGTGAACTCCACAAAGCGTAAATGTGTAAAGACACCTGTTTATTATTGACTAAATTGTGTAATATGTAGCTTTTGCAGTGGTCATGTCTTTGGACATCTGCAGTTTGTGCAGCGCCCCTGAAAGGAAAAATCTTTTGTATAGAAGGCTCGTGCTTTGGTGTTTTATGACCTTAGCCTCCTGTAGCATGACACCTTAGCTGGGGCCTTTGGAAGCACAGCAAGGACTTTACCAGCCAGATCCCTTCTTTCTTAGTCAGACCTTTGATTTGCTAGTGGCTTGATATGCACATTTCCTATCCTTAAATTGAAATGCTGATGCTACTTACTCATGGTGTTTTTTGCATGGGGAGCAAAGCTCTTAAAACCAATTAACTTATAAGCCAGAGGAAAGGGTGCTGCTCAGATGGAGAGAAGTGAAAGCCTCGTAGAGGGAGTGAGGAGGTAAAACACATTGGCAGCCAGTAGGGCTTGGTTGAGGACTGGCTGTTCTGCCCGACATCTCCTTTTGGGCCTGCAGTGGCTGCAGGATAGGCTGGGAAGGAGCTGCCACTATGCTAGCACATATGATTTTCATTAGCCATCATTTTGCTAGGAAACATAATTAGGGTTTGTGGCTTAACTGTTTGGGTTGGGTGGGTTTTTTTTTCTCCCTGATCTTTTAAGTCTTTCATAAATCAGACTTTTTTTGTTAGTCGTGGAGGTTGTTTAGGTCTAATTGTCCTTGTCTGTGTTACCCAATAACAAATATTATGTTCAGATACTTACATTTAAAAACTTTTTTTTAGTGGTGACTTCCTTTGCTGGAAAATCACCACAGAGATGACCAATAGCTCTCTTAGTTTTAGAGAGGCAATAGATGTTCAGAGATCTGGGAGATGAAAAATGTTACCAGGCTTGCTGGTAACATTTAGTTATTTTTATTTCCTGGAAATTGGAGGCAGTTAGTTGGGTACCATTTAAAAACCAAGTGAAACTTAAATTTTGTTCTTCAGACTGGCTGGGACCACCTAAATGAGTACCTTACATTATTATTTCAAAACTAGAAATAATTTGCACTTTAAACTGGTTCCTCTTTCAGCAGGGGATGATCTCCATATTGTACTTCTAATCAACTCTTAATTTTTGAGCATTGAGAATCCCCTGCTGTGCTAATACAACATTCTATGGAGTTTTGCCATTAGCCTAGCAAGGTGATTCACAATAAACTTCTACATTTCTGAAGTGGTGAGGTGTTCCTTTTTTTTTTTTAAGTTTACTTAGTTTGCATTTTAAAGGTTAAACGTGGGAGAAAGATCAGCCAGTTAACTTGCTCGTTCCTGTTCCTGTCCAGCAATTCATAGGTGCTAGTAGGATATGCTAGAATTCTCTTTCTATCCTTTCCCAGGGCAGAGTGGGAATGATTAAGCCAAAGGGGAGCCCTTGGCTGGTTCTGACCAGCAGCCCACTTTTAACTTTTTTGTTGCATCTGGACTTTAAGAAACCATTCTCTTCTCTCAGCACAACTTATCTTCACAAGTTTCATGATTTGGATCTTAGAAAGCCAAGGACAGGCTATATTTAATCTCTTATTAGACAAGCTGGCTGTATTTTAAGTAAAATTTATTATTCTGATGAGCTAAGACATCTATCATTTAATAAGGGAAGTGGCTCCAGAATGGCTGTAACTATTACTATAGAAGCAGTCTTCTCTTTACTGTTGGGTTTATATCTGCCCATACCGCCATTATTTCTAGGAAAGAAGAGCTGAGGACAGATCTTTCTTTTTTTTCCCCTAATTACAGATAGATGGATATAGCCAGGCTTGTCTGTGATATTCTTTATCTAGTATTATCCACTCCCGGTATTCTCTTAGATCATAGTTTATAGGCATACTCTATAAAAAGGATCCTATAACCCTTACATTTGGCCATGCCTGTCCCATAGCAGGGGGAGTGGGGAGGAAGGATGTGGGACTTGGGGAGGAGAGTTAATTAGGATAGCTAAAGTAGGTGAGATTTTCAGTAGCTGTTTCTGTTTAGGAATCTGCATTTGCCACATTCATACTTCCACTCTATATTTTAATCATTATAGTTCCTATCACATAGATAGTGTTAAGTTACATGTAATGCTAAACCATGGGTTAAAGATTTCCCACTCTGTTACACATCTGTAAGCTCAGTTAGGTTGCAGGCTCAGACAGCCAATTTGCCTAATGTGAATGAGATTTTAGCTTGCTGACTTCATACAGTTGTAGTTAGTAAACACTTCAACTTTATTATTATTGATGAAATTGACTTCTTGCTTCATTTGATGCTGAATTTTACTTACCTGAGATCAATAGGTTGCATTAGCAGTACCAAGGGACAAAGGATCCCTGTGTTGTGGCAATTAGAAGAGACTGGAAAGGCCCAATTTGGTATTGATTAACTTATACACACAGCACAGTGCTGCTGTGATCCTAGACTCACATCTTTTAACCCTCGGTAGACTAAACAGATTCAGCACCTTGACAAGCTTCTCTTTTAACTAATGTCTTCATTAGATAAACTGTGTTCTATGCCCCACGAGGCCCAATCTGATCATCTAAGTGAAGCTACCATTTCATTTCCTATCAGCTCAATCGAACTGTCTTTCATTTGACAGCCAGTTCAGTCCTCTGGGGAATTCATGGGTGATTTAAGTAATAACAGCAAGGACATCAATTTTATAGTAATAGTGCCTTGTATTTTCTCCAGCACCTCTCCCCAAGGAGCATAAAGCACTTGATAGACTTTCTTCCATCCATTCACACAACATTCCTGTGAGGTAGGGCCAAGGCAGAGATTATTATCACTATTTTACAGATGGGAAAACTGAAGAAAGGGACCAGTCTAAAGTCCCTTAGTAAATAGTAATATAGCTGAGATTAATTTCCTGGCTTTGTTCACTAGATCATGCTTCTTTTAAACACAAACACACACAACCAAATTGCAGTGAGGTTGACAGTTTTACAGATAAGAGAGGAATCAAGGATAACAGAGAAACAACTGCACAAGTGTCAGCATTGAGCTATGACAAAATGACCAACTCAGAGATAAAACATCAAAGCAGCTGTTTCCATTTTCCCCACAGAAATCAAAGGGATGAGCAATATCCTGAACTTGCCATTACATTCAGGGGGTGGGAAATCTAGAAAGTCTGGAGGTGGGGGAGCCTTAAGAGGTGCAGAGAGCAGGCCACTGGAAAGGAGAGAGGCTTGGCTAGCAGTACAGGAAATAGCCCGGCAGGTGGCAGCAGAAAGCACAATTCTAAATGGACAGAAACATCCAGAGGATCTCCACCCCTATGGAGGGGTGGCTCTACCCACCCCCTTCTCCCCTTAAATAGGAAGAGCGTTGGGAAGGCAGTGATCAATCTGTGATGTTGCCAAGGGAGAGGCTTGGATGTAGTCTGGGTACTTGGTATGTATGACATAGAGAGAACCATTTGTGGTGTGGATTGAGGAATGGTGAGCCCCAGGGCCTGGGAAGGTGTGGATACCGCCCTGAGCCTCAGGGACCACTCCTTGAGACCTGCCCAGGGAACTGTTCTGGATGGTCTGTAGCTCACTTCCCCCCCCCCCTTCCCACAGGGTAGCAGCCAGCATGTGCCCGAATGAACAGCTTCCTATAAGGAAATAATCTGTTGTGAAGGGCTGCTTTGGCCTGGGCCTGGTGCCCAACCCCATGGGCAGGCGCACTGGCAGAAGACTCCTGTCCACTCCTGTCTACTATCCCTAGACCATCCCAGAAGGACCAGAGCCCTTGGCAGCCTCTGAGAAGATTCAGAAGACAAAGAATGGATTTTTCTTGATGTCCTCAGTGCCTAACAGTGCCTTGCACATATAGTAGGCATTTAATATATTTTTGTTGAATTAAACTTAATTGAATGAAAAGGTAAATAGGAACTATAGGGCATATGCCCTTTACAAAGACAGTACAGCCCCAGTATATATTTAATCTCATTTTCTCAGTTAATTCCCAAAATTCCTCTCTCCCTTTTCATACAACCCATATAAAACTGAAGCAGCAGCAATTTTTATTGAGGGACCTAAACTGAAAATAGATTTAGAACATAATTTAAAAAAATAAAACAGCAAAAGTAGCAAAAAAATATATGACCTTTTTTTAAAACTTTTTTCCTTTTTTTCCTTTTTTCTTTTTTTTCAATATATAGCAACTGATGTCTCCCAGCCACTAGGAGCGCCCTACCCAATGGGTATATCTCTGGTAACAACCCTTTTAAAAAGACATGTAAATATATACTCAGATTTATACACTTTGTGTTTTCTTCATAGTTATATACAAAGCCCCAGGATGGGGCTGGGCCCCAGGGCCACAGACTGCCCCCAGCCTTTGCCCCACCATCCTCTGGTACCAGGTGTGTTTGGTCAGCAAAGCAAATTAGTATTGGAATTAATAAGCCACTAGTACCACCCTTCTGGAGCTGAGGTCACCTTCAATGGGGGCCTGAGGCACTGACTGACTGACCTCCCCATGCTGCAGCCTGAGGACAAGGCACCTGTCGCCAACATGTGGGAGGCTAGTAGGTTAAAATAAAAACAGTACCAGAGAGAGCCCAGTAAGCCTCCACTTCCATGCCCACTCCCCATTCTCCCTCCCTTCCAGGCAGGGAGAGGTCCTGGTCCAACGTTAAGGGGAATGAAGTAGCCAACTGGAAGTACCTCTATTTCCCTTTTTCCCAGAAGAAGGGGCTGACATTAATTTCTGGAAGGGAAATCAGCTCAATGGCATATCTAGAGATGGGCAATAAAGGGAAGGCCTTGAGTTGTGGGCAGCCTACTCCTGTGGGCGGGGAGAAGGAAAAAAGGAAGGGAGATGAGCCCAACCAGGATAAGGATATCAGTTTGTGGAGTTCGTTGTGGGGGAATGTCAGCGCCGTTTTAGTCCCCCATTGGCCAGTGGGGCCGGATGTCGGGGCAAGCAGGGCTCCTCAGGCAGTGGGTCATGGGAGAAGACTGAATCCTCTCCAGAGGAGCAAGTAGAACTGCGGGTGTCTGGAAAGCTGGGTGAATACTGGTCCAGGGGCACTGATAAGTCCAAGTACTCCTATTACAAGGAAAAAGAAATTTCAATGAGCATAGGGTAGGGGAGGCATGGACTTTTCCTCTCCTTAAGGAGGTAAGACAAATCCAAGGAAAAATTAAGAAAAGAAGGGGGGAGTGGGGGAATTACAAAGGTTTGGAAAATTGAAGAGCTAGAGAGGAAGCTTTTTCAACCTTGGATAGAAGCCATTCATCTGGGCTGCTGGTCTTAGGATGTTCCTGTAGCCCAAGAGGAGACAGTTGTACCTGGTTAGAGGTCAGAGCCACAATTCGATCCAGGTCCTCTACAAGCTGCTTGAAGGTAGGCCTCTGAGAGGGAATTGCATGCCAACAGTCCCGCATCATCATGTACCTGGGGCAAGGGTTGGGAATGGGAGGTAACCAGGTGATAAGATCAGGTGGGTTGGGTGGAAGAGAAAGAATGACTAGAAAGAAAAGGGCTTTCTCTGCAGCAACCCTATTATGACCCACCAGCTTCTCCTTTCCCCCATGTATTTTCATTCTCCTCCTCCCGCAGCTCCCCCATTTTGGCCCTTGTGCTCACAGTTCATTGGTGCAATTGCTGGGCTTGTCCATTCGATGACCCTCCTTCAGCAGCTTGAAAAGCTCCTCTACAGGCACACCAGGGTAAGGGGAGCCTCCCAGAGTGAAAATTTCCCACAGCAGCACCCCAAATGACCACCTGTATATCAGCACAGATTCAGTGGGTCTGTATAGGCACAGAACTAAGTAGTGGGCAGTGCCATCCAGAACCTGTTACTCTAAAGTACCACATATGCATCATTCCAAACCTAGTAGGTTTCTGAGGATAGGTATTTCTTCCAGACTTGACGTGGCTGCCCAGTCCCAAAGTGAGCAGATGCATGTTATTCCCCACCAGGCTTGCCCCCAGCCCCAGAGTCTACTCAAGATTCAGGGGAGTTCCTTATTAGTTCTTAGGTTAAGACCTCCCTGTGCTCATACCTCTGCAGACCGCATTCTAGCAACTACTTCCAACTCACACATCACTCTGGTGTGTATAGATCCGGTCAAACAGTGCTTCAGGAGCCATCCACTTGACAGGCAGCCGACCCTACATGTAGTACAGTAAGCATGAAGTAACTTAAGTGAAATCAGGGATATATAGATGTGAGGCAGCAGAGATGTCCTGAGACTAGAGTGAATATCCACAGTGCTTCCCACCATACCATCTGGGAAATGCAACCTGCTCTGGGGAGGTCTTAACTAAGATGACAGTTATGTAGGTCTACTGAGAAGGTTGAATAGAAGGGGTGGAGTTTTTCAAGGGAGATGACAGGAAGAAGAACCTTAGAGGGGGAAAAACAGGCTAGTTGGTGTACAGGTGGGAAAGGGGTGTTTTCACTTACATTGGTTGTTTTTTTGTAGTAGTCAATGTGATGGATGTCCCGAGCAAGACCAAAGTCTGCAATTTTCATCACATTGTCTTCAGTCACCAAGACATTCCGGGCTGCCAGATCCCGGTGGATGCACTAAAGGTGGGAGCAGAGAGGGGAGGCTTTAATAGTTATCAGCTTTATAAACTGCTTCCCTCAGCTCTGTGTACTCCCACTCATACTTCATCTAGCCAACCTCTTCTTCATATATCCCCACCCCTCTTCTAAAACATTATACATAGTGTCATACCTAGAATATCCTCCCCCTACTCAGCCATAACCTGTCCTTTGCTTTTCCAAAACTACTCAGCCCTTCAGACTTTACACTGAACTAATACAAGCCAACAAAGGCAATATACAGTCTTAAATGAATGAATGGTGAAAGACTGAACAGACAAATGGGACTACAGTGAATAACCTCTTAGAGACATGTCTAACCTCACTAATAATTAAAGAAATGCAAATTAAAGTAAAAGGATGCCACTAGTGAATCCACTAATTTAGCAAGAAGTGTGTGAAATCTCAGTGTTGGTGAAGAAAGAGGTTTGACACACTAACTGGGACTACTTTTCTGGAACATGATCTGGCAACATACAACAAGAGTCATAGAATGGTTCACATCTTTTGGCAGTCCTGGCAAGTATAGTTATTATTACCACCATTTTACAGATAGTCACTAATAGAGAGTGCTCATTTGTTCGTCAAAACAACCATGTGAGGTAAGTACTGTTGTTATTCCTGTTTTGCAGATGAGGAAACAGATTCTTAGAAGCAACGTGATTTGCTCATGGTAACACAGCTGTTAAATTTTAGGGCAAGGCCTGAAATTATACATCTCTTGATTCTAAGTCCAGTGGTCCAGAGTTCTTTACCCAGCCTGAACGGCCAACAGATGGGAACTGGCTAGGTAGATTGTGGCTATTTTAAATAACAGTGCAGTGATTTATGATGTTACTATAAAAAGACAAATATAAAGAATATAAAAATATGCAAATATCAGGAACAAGTTGACAAAAAATAGAATTAGGAGTACCATATATACACTATTACACAAAAAAAAAACACTGGGGAAAGGGAGTGGGAAGAGAAGGTGGATTTGGTTGAAAAAAATTTTAAGACAAATATGCAAAAAAACTAAAATTGAATATATCAAATTTCAGAAAAATGTATATATAAATTTGCTGTTGGTTTTTTTGTTGTAAAATTAAACACTGAAAACCAAACAAACTGCCATCTTTATGAAAATGATGCTGTCTAATTGTAGGTTTTCTATTCATTCTAGCAGTCCTAGCCTTCATCTTTAACCTTCCCACAAATGTTTAGGTTTTGTGTAAGTAGTACAGTTTCATTTTGTTGTCTATGTGTTCATGTGTTTTTATGGTGGAAATAGTATTGAATTTGAAGTCAGAAAGACTTAGGTTCAAATCTTGGCTTTTTGCTAGCTAGCTGTGTCATCTGAGGAAAGTCATTTAACCACTTTAGGTCTGAGAATGTCTTCATCTACAAAAAGAAGGGGTTGGACTAGCTGATTCCCAGGTCCCTTCCAATTCTAATATTACTATTTTATGATCCTTAGTAATGTTATTGTTGAGTTATCTCAGTCATGTCCGACTCTCTGTGACCCCATTTAGGGTTTTCTTTGCAAAGATACTGGAGTGGTTTGCCATTTCTTTCTCTAGCTCATTTTACAAATGAGGAAACTGAGGCAACAAGGGTTAAGTGACTTGCCCAGGATCACACAGCTAGTAAGTGTCCAAGGTTGGATTTGAATTAGAAAGATAGGCTTTCTGATTCCACGCCCAGTGTTCTATCCATTGCACTACTTAGTTGCACTGATTCTTAGTAATGCAAATATACACATATACACACATCAACCTTATCTCCCAATTATATCACATGCTCCTTGGGACCATGAACGGTGCCTTCTCCTGCCCTTTTATCTCTTCAGAGTGTTTTGGTACAGTGTATTTAGTTGGTGCCTAATAAGTTATAGCCTGAGAGAATTAATGGATTCTTATTTGATTGGAGGATTAAATTCATACTTGAAACTTAGGTAGGCTGGTTGATAGTCTCAAATCAGAACCTAGAGAAAGTCACTCCCCTGCCCACCCTCTACCCTTACACATAGCCCATTTAGCCTGAGATTCCACACCTTCTTGGAGGCAAGATACTCCATGCCCCTGGCCACCTGGTAGGCACAAGACACTAGGTCCTTTGAGGAGAGTTGCTCTTCTGGGGCATGGCTGGGGTTGTAACAGTATTCAAGCCCAGGTGGCCGCCTGGCCTGCAGGTACTCACGAAGGTTGCCCTTGGAGGCATATTCCACAATGACATACAGAGGACCTGGTAGGCACAAAGAAGAAGGGGCTAGAAGAATTGTCAACTGTTCTTCCCCCCCAAAACCCTCCAGAACTTCCATAGAAGTCAACACTGCCCTGCTTTGTTTTGGGAGTTCAAGCCACTCTGAAGTACTACCCTTCAAAGAAGAATTAGAATGGTTCTGGACACCCATGAAGCAAACTGGGACAAAATCCTCATGCATGAGTAACAGTATACGCTGGGGAAATGCAGCTGCACTTAACGGATGAGAACTGGAAGCAGCACACCTCTCCAGGTCACCCCCCCCAAAATAATAACCCTAGATAGGTCAAGAGATCTTTGCTTCTCCAAGCCCCATGAATGGCTAATGCCCACAAATGATTAATAAACCCCTCTCCTCTCTTCCCCTGCCCTTTCCATTCTCTCTCTCTCTCTTTCTCTTTCTCTCTCCCCCTCCTTCTGTCCCTCTCTCTCATGCATGCTTAACCAGCCATCTGCATCATGCTGGTTTTAGGCTGGCTAGGCAGTATTGTCTCCACTTCTTTTTTTGCCCCAGGAATGGCTGAGACAGCTTATTATGGATATGCCCACATAGATGCTTCCCCTAGCCTGTTCTGACAAGCCTCAGGTCATACCATCCTGTGTGCAGGCCCCTAGTAGGTTGATAATGTTCTTGTGTTTCCCAATCATCTTCATCATCTCCATTTCTGAGATCAGATCTGATAGATCCTTCTCTGTTGCATCCGCTTTAGACATAAACCAGAAAGACATGTAGTAGTCATTTACTTTAGAGTATAAGAGCAGAGCAAGGTGCCTAGTGGGCTAAAAAAGTACTCATCAATCCTTGAGGAACTCCTTTCCCCCAGGATTTACTTCTTTTTACCCCTTTCCACTTTTCTTCCCTATGCATGACATCCTGTGGTTTTGCAGTGGAGGCCTGTGGATGTGGGTAAGATGGGGCTGTTGAGGAGACAGTAGGATCTTAAGTAATCTGACAATAGCCTAGGCCAGTAGCAAATGAACACCTCCTACCAGGGAAACATCCCAGAATATGTCTGGAACAGAGGCTATCAAGTCAGTACACTGTGTGTGGGTAGGGGGGAAAATGCAGCCGATAAGCTGGAGTGTTTCTCTTGGCCTGAGGCTTACAGCTCCGCTCAGAAAAACACACCAGGGGAAACAGAAAGCAGCAGCTTTAGTGCAGTGTTACTTACATTTCAGCATCTTCACTGCCACCTTGGTTACCCGGTTGGGTTTATCCTTGTCCAACCCAATAGCCTCTGCCAGTACTACTTGTCCAAAGCAGCCTTCTCCCAGTGGTTTGCCCAGAACCAACCTGTTGGAGAACAGACAGTGGGGGGGTGAGAGGATTGTTATGGTACAGTTCCTCAGAGGAGGTCACCATCCATTGCTTTTATCTAATGGAGAGCAATGAATAGAGAAAACTTCCTGTGGACATTTTTTTTTTAACCTTCTGAAGTAAGTCCTAGGAGAAGGGACCAAGGAACCTTTATAAGAAGTTAAGGATGGAGGATTACCTGTCCCGGGGCAGTTCCCAGCGGGGATCTTCAGGAAGTTCGTACTCAGAGACACCTGCTAGCATAGGGGTCCCACTGGAAGAGAGGCGTGAAGGCCGAACCAGCAAGACTCCTGAGTTCATGGAGGCACTGGAATCAGCAGACACCTATAAAAAAGAGTGGGGTTACCCTTATAGGAAGTAGAAAGGGGATAAGAGGCTGGATAGTTCTGCATGTGGAGGATGAAGAAGTTATTTCCTACTTAGAGCCAGAATTTCTCATCAGTATTTTGTCTACCTGTTATCCATCTCTAAGGTGGCATAGGAGAGTGGGAAAGAGTCCTGGGACTCCAAATTTATACCTAGAGCTTCTCCAGACTAGCAGGGTGACCTTGTACAAATTATTTAACCTCTATGAGCTCAGGTTCTTATCTAGAATGAAGAGTTAGGGTTTCAGTAATCTCTAAGATCCCTTACAGTTATAAGATTTTATACCAGTCTATTCTATTAGCTTAATAGCAATTGTGCCTTTATACCTCAGGAGGGGACTTAGTCCCTGTAAATAGCCTTTTGGCCCAAATGAGAGAGTCCTAACCCTTAAAACATTTCTTCTTCCCAGAGTTATAACCCAGTTCAAAAGCCTTCCCTTTCAGACTTCTCCTATAAAATTCCCATAAAATTTTTGTAAATGAGAAAAAGATCTTGGGTTGCATGCTTGCATACTCGCACCTCGGGACTTGTCCCTGATGGGGTCTTCCACATACACAACTGGGAACCCTTTTAGAGGTGACCTTCAGAGTCATCATGGACTCACTGATCTGTATGCCCAGGCCCAGACAACACTTAATCCACCCAATTCAGCTGAATCAAAGGCTTGGAGTTGGGGCTTTGGAAGGGAAATTAGTGGGGAAAGCAGTGGGTAGAGAAGCTGCATCTCCTCGGGGAGAGAGTTTTAACTCTAAAAGCTTAGTTGACTTGGCCTCACAAGTAGGGAGGCAAAACTAGGAAATGGTAAGTTTAGGGCACAGGATTAGAGGATTCAGGAAGTGATGGAGGAAACTGAGAGGGTGCTGGGTACAGGCGGGAGAGAATGTGAACCCCCCATCTACTTTCTGTTACCTGTCTGCGCAGGGGGATGCTCTTGGCCAGCTTGTGCACAGCCATTTGGCTGTGGAAGTCGCTCTTTTTGGTACCACTCTTCATCTTGTAGATGATGACAGACCCCACCATGCAGGAGATGAGGAAAGCCCCCGTGCAATAGATGATGATCTCCAGATATAGAGGCGAAGTCATCACTGCTGGTCTCTCCTCCAGGGCTGAGTCGGTGTGAACAGGGTGTCAGCAGGCACTGGGGGGTACCAGCCTCCTAGGGCCCCAACTCCATAAGAAAAAAATGACCCTTCCCTATTTCCCTTCACCCCCCAGGGGGGCTTATAGAGCAGAATGGAGGCTGGTCAGACCCTGGCCCCAGTCACTAATAGATTAGGCGCCACCCAACTTGTGAGACTCCCCAAAGACTATCATCATGGATATAACTGCTTTGTGCTCCATGCCCCACACCCAGGGAGGGGGAACCACTCCAAGCTCAGCTGCCCTGTTTGCCTACCACTGTCCTTCAGGAAACAGAAGGGGAAGGGAAAAGGACACAGGCACATGTCTTGGCTCTGCTGCTGAATATAGATCTAATCCCCCATCTTTCATCCCTACTATATACTATTACCTTTATGTTACATCAAACCAAAATAAAAAATGTTTACATCCTCAACTTATGGCCAAACTCATGTATGTAGACTTAAAAATAAACTCTAGAAAATGTTCTGGAAAGGATTCCCCCCACCCTTGCCTGTGGTCCACTTCAAAACTCCCATCTCCCACAACCAAAGGAGGAGAGGTGGGAAGGTCATGCTTTTCCCTCTCCATACTCTTCTCAAACTGCACTTCACCATTTTCAGTCAGTCTAACAACTCTTTTCTCTTCTCAGCATGGACACAGACAATGGAGCATTTTTATATACCCCCCCCACCCCCTGTCCAATGGTTCATGCCTCTCTATACCTCCCCTCCAAATAAACCATTGCATCACAGAAATAGACACCCTTGGAGAACTTTCCCCTAGAAAGTCAGGATCCCCAGCCTTGGTTCAACAGGACAGAGCCTGGAACAAACTTTCACCAAAGTGAAGCAGATAACAGGGAGAAGAGTTTGTTTTTTTTCCTCCAGGTCAAGGGACAGAAACAATGGATTGGGAGGGACATAGGTAGGACGGACAGAACAAGGACAGTCACAACAATAAACACCGAACTCTTCCCTGCTTCTAGGTGGGTATTAGCAGTCTTTGCTGGGCCTGTGGTACTAGCATAGAAGGAAATAAAGGTGTTGGCAGCAGCAGCAGCAATGACAGTAAAAATAAAAAGCCTCGAGAATCCCCAAAGCAAGAGACTTCCAAAGGCAGCAGTGATTCCATTCCCCGGGACATAAACCATCCCACCACCTTGAATAGGCTCCTTCCCTTCCTGTCTAATATCAGGTCACATTTGGCTCAAATAGGGAAAATGGGTACAGTCTGTCTGAGAGAGGTCATGCTTAAGACCGCTGAAATCGGTATGCATATAGGAACTGGCAGAGAAGATTGGGATAGAAGCATGTCCCTGGAATGTAGTGGTTCTTCCTCTAAACCACTTAGGTTTGGGGGGAAAAGGAAATTGGACATATCTGAGGGATTCTCAGTCCCAAAGGGTGTTTTTTTTTTTTTTTGGTAGGGGGAAGGGGGATGTATCAGACATGAGAAGGGAAGGAGTCTATTCTGGAAGGGCATCCAGCCACAGGTTAAATTCAGAGTACAAGCATGCATTGTCTTGGCCAAGGAGAGAGCCAGCTGTGGATATGTGGATAAGAGATTCCTTACTCTTGAGAAACAGGAAAGCTCCTCTCTCAGCAGAGGGCTGAATTCTCACAGCTGGAGAGAGCCAGGGGTGGTGGTGTTGGTAGGGTACTGCCAAGGCAGGGCCTGGTGCAAGGCCTAGTTCCATTGTCGTTCCTCTCCCCCCACCTTCCTCTGTCTTCCTAAGGCTCTAGGCTTCTCCAAGACCTGCAATGCATGCTCCCCCCGTGCCCGTGGTAGGGGCAGGACATCGAGAGGAGAAGTAGTACAGTATATACCTTCCAGAACGGTCAGCCATGCAGAGTGATGGGAGAGTCCGATAGAGTTACCCGCCAAGCATGTATACTCCCCCGCGTCCTCAAAGGAGACATTCCTTAAGTGAAGCACTTCCATCTCTTTGTCAGTGGTATTAACACCGGCCGTCTAAAAGAGACAACAGGAGCAAAATGGGCAAGCACAGAGCATGAGACCTCCAGGACAATGAGATGGTGGGAGAAGGAAAGGAAAGAAAAAGGGAAGGCAGAAGAGGAAGATGAAAAATGCTCCCCAGTATTTTGTTTTTGCAAAACAGAAAAAAATCCCAGGCAGCAGTGAGCCCTGATCGAGAGAGACAGAGAGAGAGAGAGGCAGAGAGAGAGAGAGAGAGAGAGAGAGAGAGAGAGAGAGAGAGAGAGAAGAGAGAGATAGGGAGAGATAGAGAGAGATAGAGAGAGAGAGATAGAGAGAGAGAGAGAGAGAGAGAGAGAGAGAGAGAGAGAGATAGGGAGAGATAGAGAGATAGAGAGAGAGAGAGATAGGGAGAGAGAGAGAGATAGAGAGAGAGAGAGAGAGAGAGGGAGAGAGAGAGAGAGAGAGAGAGAGAGAGAGAGAGAGAGAGAGAGAGAGAGATAGGAGAGAGAGAGAGATAGAGAGAGAGAGAGAGAGAGAGAGAGGGAGAGAGAGAGAGAGAGGGAGAGATAGAGAGAGAGAGAGATAGGGAGAGATAGAGAGATAGAGAGAGATAGAGAGAGAGAGAGAGAGAGATAGGGAGAGATAGAGAGATAGAGAGAGAGAGAGAGAGAGAGAGAGAGAGAGAGAGAGAGAGAGATAGGGAGAGATAGAGAGATAGGGAGAGATAGAGAGATAGAGAGAGAGAGAGAGAGAGAGAGAGAGAGAGAGATAGGGAGAGATAGAGAGATAGAGAGAGAGAGAGAGAGAGAGAGAGAGAGAGAGAGAGAGATAGGGAGAGATAGAGAGATAGAGAGAGATAGAGAGAGAGAGAGAGAGAGAGAGAGAGAGAGAGAGAGAGAGAGACCCTGAGGTAGAACTCTGGCAGACCTATGGAGAAGACGGCTAGTTATAACCCTTCACCAGATGCTGGCACCCCCTGGCCCATCCAAGCATGCTGGCAATGGGCGGCATGGAGAAATGGGGCCTGGTAGGCGGCAGGAGGCTGTTTGGTTTAATGGAGAGACAGGGTGAGAAGGCACACGCCTTAGGAAAGAAGGGTAACTGGATTCATAGACAGCTCACGGAGGCTGGGTTGAGATGGTAGTGCCTGATCTCATCCTCTGGCATGTCCCTTAAACTCTGGTCTTGATATTTATATCATAATTTTTTAAGGTTAGTAAAGTGCCATCTGAGCTTCAGGAAAGTCCTATGGGGTAGGTACCATAGCTATATATCACACCCATTTTACAGATGAGGAAACTGAGGCTCAGTGAGTTTTTTTTAAAATGACTTGCCCCTGGTCACAGTTCGTAAACTAGGATCCAAACCAGATCTTCTGACTTCCAAGTCCAGCGCCCTTTCCTTTACACCACACTGCTTTTAGTGTCATTCGTAACACACCAAGAAAGCACACACAGGAACACATACACCCACATGTATACGTGCATACACACACACACACACACACAGCAAAGGAACAACACATAAGGCAAAAGGACCAGTAGAAACCAACATAACACCAAACCAAACCAGCCGCCCATGCCAGGCATTTTTCCATGGCTCTGGGTACCAGAAACACAGTAGGAAAACAGGGAGAGGTTGGGGCTGGCTTTTCCATTTGCCCCAGTGGCTTGGGCCTCAAACAAATTCCCGGCATAGGATGGCCCCATCTCCCGGTTACCTTTTGCCACAGGTCTGGTGACAGTGAGCCACGCAGACTGGCGAGCTTCACCAATATAATTGGAAACCTTACACACATACTCCCCGCTGTGGGCCTCTGTCACATTGAACAGGGTCAGCACTTCCGCATCTGAGCTATTAATCCCCGAATGCTGGAATAAACCAATTACATACCAGTCAATTGGGCAGACATGTGCGCACTGCCATGCTTAGCCCCCGGGTGGATGCCAGGCAGGTGCGAGGCGCTAAGGGAAAGGGGTGATTAAATGAAATTTGTCATCTTTTCTAATTTTTACACAATAGGATCAGTTTCCCTCAAAGATCAAGAGAATCTGTCTGAAAAAAATGAACATAAAAATCCCTCAAAAATGAAACACTAGCTACCCCCCAAATCAGATATTCCTGCTTTATTCTATATTCCATATGTGCATACATGTGTGTTCCTATATGCACATATATGTGTGTATAAATGTACGTGTGTAATGTGTGTATGTATTTCAGGTGTTTTTCAATCATGTCTCTATAACCCCATTTGGAGTTTTCTTGGCAAAGGTACTGGAGTGATTTGTCATTTCTTGCAAATAGGGCTAAGTGACTTGCCCAGGGTCACACAGCTAATAAGTGTCTGAAGATGAGTCTTCCTGACTTCAGGCCTGTCACTCTATCCACTGTGCCATCTAACTGCCCATTACGTACATACATACACACATATGTATGTATAGATATAGATATATACACATATGTGTGTATATATTTATATCTATAGGTATTATATAAATTCTGGGACTGGATAGGGGACAGCAGAAAGAGATGGATGGCTTAAGTGCACATCCACAGTCCCGTTTATATGCAGGACCAGTTTCAGAACCAATGGCAAGGTCAGGCTTAAGCCTAGGACAGATGGGCTGCAGAAGGATGAGGTACGTGTAGCTCAAGGATAATAATATGAATGTTTTTGACTTCTGGCGGCTTCCTATTGCAAGATCCATTATGGAAACTTGGACAATCTCTTCCCTATGATTAATGGAGAAGCAGATTTTTAGGGGTGAAGCGCATCTGGTTGGGGGAGGAGGCAGAGAAGGGAAAGGGGATGTGATGGGGACTAAGGAAGTCAGTACTTAGGCGCAAAGGGAAGAGACAGCATTTCTGTGGTTGACCATTTACATGTAGTATTTTGCTAGCCTGAAGTAGATGCTCTTTCTGACTGCACGCTTGCTCCAACCCTAACTCCCAGAAAGTAACTTCAGTGTGGAAGGGAGAATAGGGAAAGGTCATGGAGAAGCCCTGTCCAAAGGCCCAGTCTAAAGATGGAACCAAAATGCCGTGTGAGTGGCTGGCTCTCAAGCCACAGAAAAGTTACTCTCCCTAGCCCACCTCCCACTTTTAGTCCTGCCCCTCCCTCACCTCCCCTACTGCAAATTCCTGGGAAGTGGATTTTATCCCCAAAATAGGACTGACGGTGCTGAGAGGGAAAGGAATCTGGGCTCAAGAACAGTAAGGGGACTTGACTCCTTCCTAGACCATAATGCCCATGAAAAGTGGTTCCAAGTCCTGGGACCAGTTTTACCTTTAGAATTTGCACATATGGCAGGTTGTCTGGGCCAATCTTACTCCCATTCACTTCGATGTGCTTTAGCCACTGGATGTGAGGCTGGGGGTCACTGTACACCTTGCACATAAACTCCACATTGCTGCCCAAAGCCACTGTTTTATTGGCAGGCAATCCAGCCTGCAGGATGGGCCGGTGAGGTGACCGCTCTAGAGAGAGGAAGGGGAAAAAGAGGCAGGTAAACACTAGTCATATCTCAAAGCAATTCAAGTCTCATAAGAAAGCAAAAAGAGTTGTAGCTTTGACATCGTTCCTGACTCACTCACTGATCTCTACCAGACTCCCAGAGGGTAACTTAAAAGCAACGAACAGAGAGAGCCTTTTCACAGCCTCCTGATTCAAGGATTCAGGGAGTCAGAAAAGGTCTCACTCCCACCAGCCCTCAGGAAAACCACAGTTTCTAAGACTCCTAAACTTTGAAATACCTGCTTGTTGGATGTTTCATTTCTGGAAATTTGATATCAAGAAAACCCTCACAAGGAAGTATCTTAACCCATCCATGACTCACACCCCAAGCCCCTACCCCACATTGTTTCCTGTACATATCTATTTCCTATGTCTACATCCCTTTTACTTCCTTTACTATCTTCAGTGGAAGTGAGAAATAACAGCTTACCACCACCACTAAATAGTCATGGAGAACCTGCTATGGGTAGGAAACTCTGCTAGACCCTGGAAGAGCCTGGAAGATGAAGAAGATGCAGTCTCTGCCCTCACGTCACTTACAATAAGCCTTGATAAACATGGAAACCACCCCTCTACCTCCAGCCTTCTTTCCCTCAAGCTCCTGAATCCTTGACCCTTTCCTCAAAGGGTCTAGTTCACAACCCTGTCCCTCATTCTTTTTATTCTCCTTACCCACAACATCCAGCTGGTAAGTGTGGTTAATGCTGCCATATTCATTCTCTACGATGCAGGTGTAGTTGCCTTTATCAGATGGCACCACTGAGTCCATTATGATGCTCCAGGTGGCATAGCGGACCTGAAAGGATGTAAGAGTGAACCGCTGAGAGGCCGTACACAGAGGATGAAACTAACCACTACATTAATAGTTCCTCCCTCTAACCCAGGGGAAAAAATAATTTATATGGTTCTTCAAGGTTTGCAAAGTGATTTACATGTTATTTAACGTGATTTCTCACAACAACCCTAGGAGGTAGGTGCTATCATCATCCCTATTTTACAGACGAGGAAACTGAGGCAAACAGATTAAGTGACTTGCCCCAGGTCATACGGCTAGTTTTCCTGACTCCAAGTCCAGTTCTCTATCCACTACAAAGAAACAATCACTGTTGTGATGGGGGCACAAATGTTTTCTGTGTCCTGACACAAAGGTTTTTGTTGAAATGGGGTCCTGTTTTCTGGGTTCTACACACCCTAAGCAACAGTGAGAGGAGTGAAATGCTCCAGTTAGTATTTCCTACCCTCAGGAAGAGCCTTACTGGAAGGTAGGTAGGAACCCTGTGCTGCAGCTGTAAAGAGCTAATGCCTCCACTTCTAATCTCTCTTGTGTGATCCCTTCTCTCCCCTGGAAGTGTCACCAGCCAGGTGCTGGTCCTCATCACTCATGCCTAGACTATTGCAATAGGCTTCTGGTCGGTTTCCCTCTCTCTCCACTCCAGTCCAGCTGTAAAAATGATCTTCCCAAAGCCAAGGTCTGACTATGTTCCCCTGCCCCTTGCCCCGCCCCCCATTCCATTCTCTAAACAACAGTGCTTCCCTCTCACCTCTGGAATCAAATATGAAGTCCTCTGTTTGGCTTTAACAGCTCTTCCTCACCTGGTCCATTCCTGTCTTTCCAATTGTCTTACATCTTACTGCCCTCCATAGACCCTGTGATCTAGTGACACTGAGTCTCCTGCTATTCCTTGCAAAAGATGGTCCCCCCTCTCTATAATTCTCTTCTTCCTCATCTCCATTTCCCAGCTTTCCGGGCTTCCTTCAAGTCCCAGCTAAAACCTCACCTTTTACAAGAAGCCTTTTTCCTGTGATCTCTCTCCAGTTTATCCTGCATCTATCTTGTCTGTACATAGTTGTTTTCATGTTGTCTCCTCTGTTAGTTACTGAATTCTTTACTCTTTGAGAGCAAGGATTGTCTTTTGCCTTTCTTTGGATCCGTAGCACTTAGCATAGGGCCTGGCACATAGTAGGCCCTTAATAAAGGCTTGTTGGCTGTCTCAGTAGTCCCCTTTTCAGCTCTTGTCCCTGCGTCCCCTATTCATCTTCCCAATAACCCCCCACATAGCCACACCTTGTAGCCCCCAATCCGATGGTCAGGTTTGAATTCTTTGCCATTCTTCAGCCAACGCAGAGTGGGATTAGGGGTGCCATTTGAAGGGCATTTGAACTTCACTGTTTTAGCTGCTGGTACCGCGTGCAATTTCTTTTCCATCTTTTCTGGTGATGTCCAGTATGGAGCCACGGCTGCCAAGGCCAAGGGTGAACCAAAAGAAGTAGAAGGGAATCAGCCAGACCAGAAAACAGGAGTATTGGGTCAGTGCTGTGTGACACATCTCCCAGGAATGACCCTGATGCCAGGCACACTATCTGGGAAAAGTGACTGGCACTGCCCACTTAGCCCCAAGTGAACTATTCCCAGATGGATCATTCATGGAATTATTTTACAGCCATGTACCATTGAAGCCCACCACCCTTACCTGCCATGTGTCTAGATAACTAACTGTGCGCTTTTGAAGGACTTAGTACCCTCCAGCCTTTCCACAGAGGCTATGGAGACTCCCAATCTGAAGGTACAACTCTCTAACCCTTCCCATCTCCACACCCAGACCTGCCCCAAGCCCCCCACAGGTAATAAGGTAGGAAACAGTGTCTCACGCGTACGGTTTGGCTTAGTGTTATCTGACTCTTTCTCCTCTGATGAGGAGTCATCATCATCATCATCATCTTCTGAGGAAGGTAGAGCATCTGTGAAGGAAGAGGAAGAAGCATTTGGAGTTATTTCCAAGGAAGAAGGGTGTGTCCCAGGTTCTCTAAACCATACTAGTACTAATAACAACTCCACAGTTGTCTAGGGAGTAGCCCTCCCTATTTGACATAAATATAGATGACCCCCAAAAGCCACTTACCCTCACGGACTAACTTCCAATGTAACGTAATAGCAACTGTTTAATAGTTACACGCCCACTCCCACCCCCTCACTCAAATTCATCCCATGCCCTGTCCCTGCCTCCATCCTAAATCTGTCCAGAAAATCTCACCATCATCAGTTACACAGGCTACAGCTACTGCCTTTTAATGAACATGGTGGTGTACATCAACCTCTCTCCTCCTCTCCAATCTTAGCCTGGGACATAGCAGTGGCTGCCAGAGAGCCTGAATCCCTTTTGGGATTGCTTATACTAAGACCACTGTGACAACACAGTTAAGTAAGTAGTACCCTTCCCTGGAGCCAGGGACCTGCCTTTCTTTAACAAAAAAACCCTGCTTCATACCAATGCCTCTGACAGTACCACTTTCCAACAAGTTCATCCTGAGCAGGAACAGACCTTCCAGCCCCACCCAGGGGGTCGGTTTCATTTGTCAATTACCATCCAAGTTTATGTCAGATACTTTCTCAACCCCTCCTAGTGCTTCTGAGAGGAGATATTAGGACACATGGATCCCTAGGTAGGAGCATGTTTTCAATGATGCCTGCTGCGAGCCTACATTCCTGCGATTCACGAATGCTTCACAGAAGTCCTCGTCATGCCCCTAGAGCCCTGCTTAGGTGAAAATTCCACTCTCAAACCTCGACAATGGCAGAACTGTGGTCTTTAAAGAGGCCAATGCCACAGAGCCCTCCAGTTGCCTGCAACAGCTCAGGAGGAAAACGGTCACAGGTATTCTCAATGCATATGGCCAGGTTCCTCTGCACTGTCACTCATACAGCTCCCGTGAGATGGGGTGATTGTGCTATGTGTACCAAAGCTGAAGGACGTCAGCTGTCCAGTGAGCAGATCCTGGAGGTCTGGGCATGCCGTGACAAGGAGGTGCTCACTGTGTAGGTGCAGTCTGCTAATGCTCTAGGGAAGAGAGGGGAGATCTTGTGGCCCCTGGGTCTTCTCCCTAGGGCTCTCATCACCTGAGAGCTAAGCCAGGCGGTGGGCAGGCGGGCAGCAGAGGTTAGTGAGCAGCGGCTCCGAAGCAGAGTGGGGAGGGGCACGGGAAACCATGAAAGAGTAGGGGAGCATCACCTCCCCATGAGGCTACTGGAGAGGTGGGGAGGTGCAATGCTACCAACCTGAAACATTGACGGAGAAGTAGGTGATGTCGCTGCCTGAGGGGCTGTTGGTCACACAGGCGTAGAGCCCGGAATCCGAGGGGACGGCATCCCGCACCTCTACCTCCTCCCCCGTGATGCGGGTACGGTTGCTCTCCACCAGCTGCACCCCGTCCCGCAGCCAGTTGATGCTTTGAACATCCTCCCTTAGCCGACAGCGAAGCTGCAACAGGTCACCAGGGTGCGCCAGAGAGGACTCCACTTCCACGGGGCCTCCCCAGGGCAGAGCTGGGGCCACGCGCAACCCGCAGAGGCAGGAGGGATGGAGAAGAGGAGGGAGAGACAGGGAAGAGGGAAGAGACAAAGGGCATTACACTAGCTGAGTATGAGCCATGGCATCCAAAGCATCACTAGCTCGGGGACCATAAAATCAAAAGGGTGGCTGCTGACTGTGGGGACTGGCCCAGAATCCCCTTCTCCACCTCTTTCCCAACCGACTCTCATAGAATACAGGAAGAAAAAAGCAAAAGTTAGAAAGCAGCTGCGGCAGCATTAAGCATTTCATTTCACGTTTCATTTCCCTCAGTCCTAAGGGAAAAGGTTAGCTATTCCAGGCCCTTCCTCCTGCCCGCCCCAACATCCCTCTGCAGTCAGGGTATCTTGTCTCCCCGCACTTACTGGCTGGCTGGCTGCCAAGAGCAGTCACTTCTTGGAGGCCAGCCCCAATTCCCTTTCCAGCGCTACCTTGTTCTTCTCCCATTCCCTAATGGCAACTGAACACACTTTGCTCCAAAGAAAAGCACTGCCCCCCCCAAATCTGAAGAAGACAGCTTGTTACAGGGGGAGGGGGAGGCCTGGGAGAATGCTTAAATAATTCATAGAGTGCGGGATCTGGCACAAGAAGGCACGCATTTATGTGAGAGTGACAGCCCAGGGAGAGGTCAGCTTAGGAGAACCTCCAGCTAACAGGTGTCGGGGCCCAAGGATTCCTATCGTTCTACAATATTAGAAACAGAGGCTAGCAGCTGCCACAAAGCCCCACACTTGCCCTGCCAGCATGAGGCTGTTGTACACAAAGGTCCTTTCTCCTCATCCTATCATTCAGGCTTCCTCTCTGAAGCTACCCCAGCCCACCCCCACATACACACACCCCACAGGGCCTCCTCTCCTCGAAGGCAACAGAACGGAGCTGATTGCTCAAAAGGCTGGTCCTGGCAGGGGAGGTTCAAGAACGCCCCCTCATGAGTTCCTACAGCCTTCTTCTAACAACTAGCAACTCCTGCCCTTCACTACATACAGATGTATAGACATACCAAGAAAAGGACGTGACTAGTCCTCTGACATCTCTCTGATACCCCATGACCCCCTTTCTTCAATGTGGAAATGGCAGTGCTGATTTCCTTCCACCAATGCTATAAGCACAGATTCCTCATCCTCCTGTCTACCACCCCACTATAAGTTTGGAACTCAGTATACTATTCCTCCCAATTCACACAGGAGCTGAAGAACCTGCTTCCTGGGTGTTTCTACTATAGCACGCGTCACAACTCTCTATGCTATGGCATTTGTGGACAGAGTCAGGGACAGATTCCAGTGGTCCCAAACTCTTCACACCATGGTCTGAGGAGTTCAGACTAAGCCACTGAACACTGAGAACCCAATACCTTCCTCCTTCAACAAGGGGTCAAGGAACACTTCTAAAAGGCTGTTGTAAAGGCTGTTGTTGTTTTTGGTTGAAAAGAGACCTTGGGGATCAAGTCCACTACCTAATGTCTTCCCCATCCCTCTATTTAACAGAAGAGGAAAACCAAGTGATTCACCTAAATGGTGTCAGATCCATTATTAAAAACTGAGTCTTCTGCCTATCATATCTAGTGTTTTTTTCCACCACCACATACTGTACTAGAGTTTGTACAAAACTGAAATGTTCACGTTTGGCATTGCTCATTTAAAATAGACCCCCTCCCCTTAATAAGGAGCAGTGGTTGAGACAGCTTGTGTTGATATAAGTAGTTGGACATACATATATCACAATTACATAATCATGTTCCTATCCTCTTCCTCCCCTACCCCTCAAGAAAATGATGCATTTTAAACCTCTTTCTGAAGGGGGGAGGGTCAAGAGAAACATCTGTTAGAAAACCTCTGGCCTAAAGACAGCTATCCTACAGATCTGACAGCATGACCCCCAACCTTCACCAATCCTATTGAGTAAAATACCAAGGTGAAATAGACCACATAAATGATTTAAAATAAATTTCTGTGGTTTTAAAAAGATGCTATTCTTTATATTTTAAACAGCCCACCTTGGGGCAATAAGAAGCAATTGAGAGGTCAGCCACACTTCATGGAAAATAGCAAACACTTTTATTGATCAAGTCTCATTTCCCTCCAATGACCTCACTGATTAAATATTTTGCCTCTCTTGATCCTTACCAAGTTACCAGCCTTTGGACAAACAGCGAACTCAAATTCTTAGCCTCTGGCATCACATATTTGACTTCAACAGGTCCCAAGGACAAGAGGTGCCAAGGAAAGCAAATGGCATTTTCCCCAGGAGGGAAAAAAGAAAGAAGACAGGGCCCTGCTGAGACAGTCTTTGCCTCATTACAACTTGGACTGAAGACAAAATGCTTCCCACCTGTCCCCAGAGCAGTCTGCAAACAAAACTCCTCTGTCTGATATGCACAGGCCTCCAGGCCCAGTTTTTCTTCCCTCTGTGTTTTTGCTGCTCCAAGTTTCCGTCCAAATGTTTCTGGAATCTGTCTCCTTTTCTCTGTTCCCACTGTCTCTTCCCAAGTATAGGCCCTTCACCATCTCACTCCTCCTTCAGTTTTACCGGCTTCCATTGGCCCCGCATACTGCAGTCAGATTACTCTCCCTAAAGTGCTTTTATCTTATTACTGTCTTGCTCAAGAACACACATGGATCATACTATGGTCAAATGAAAACTCCTTGCTCTGGCACTCAAGGCTGTCTCTAATCTCAATCTACTTTACCAAGTCAGCATTCTTTCTGTCCCTTGCTATGTTCCAGCCAAATGTCTTCTCGCTGACCCTTCCCAACAACATGCCACATTCTCAGTCCAGTAACTGAGCCATTGCATTACTCATGCTTGTTACTACTGTTGTCTCTTCCCTCTTCTCTGCCCATCTGATTTTTGGCCCGTCCTGCACAGCCCAGCTAAAGTCCCAGCTCCATGAAGCCTGATCCAAGAGCTGGAAGTTGTCACATGGTTCAACCTCTTTCATTATACAGAGGAGGAAACAGAAACCTGGAAAAATGGAAATGACTTGACCAAGGTCATAGATGTTGAGCAGCAGGGCCAAGACCAGAACTCTGGTCTCCTAACTCGGAGTTCAAGGTTCTTTCCACTGTACCAAACCACCTCTGTCTAACACACTTTGGAACTTAATCATATGCTATATCATGTCCTCTTGATGAAACTCCAGTGGTTCTGTATTACCTTCACATTCAAATATAAAGTCCTTTGATTAGCATCTAAAGCTCTTCCCAATCTGACCCTTTCTAATTTTCTTTCATTCTGCTGCCTCCATGTATATTATGATTTAGCCATACTGGTCTATTTGATCTTCCTTAAAAATGATACTTCATCTTTTATTGCTATGTTTCCCATGACTGGAATGTTCTCCTTCATAATTTCTACTCTGGCTTTCTTTTTTTATTTTTGGAGGTAATCAGGGTTAAGTGACTGGCCCAGGGTCACATAGCTAGTAAGTGTCTGAGGATAAATTTTACCTCTGGTCCTCCTGACTCCCGGGCCGGTGCTCTATCCACTGCACCACCTACCTGCCTTCCTCTAGCTTCATTTAAGATTCAAGTCAAGTACCACGTCCTCTAGGAAGCCTTTCCTGGTTCCCACTCCTCAACCCCTACTCTGTATTTATATTGTGTGTCTGGATTCATACTTATATGTTATCTTCTCTCTTCCTCTTCTGCTAAGATGCAAGCTTCTTGAGGGCAGGAATTGTTTTTTGCTCTTTCTGTACATATCCAGTACCTGAATTCTGACTCTCTGGACTTTCTCTACCTTGGAAGTTCACTCTGCCCCTGGACTTCTCACACTGGAAGTACTGTCTGCCCCTATGGCTTCTTCTTCTGATTGGCTGGTTCTTCCCAGAACCTCCATTTTAAGGAAAATGGCCAGGCAAGCCATGTCTTTATTCCTCTTGCCTTCACTCTTGGCTCTGGAATTTCTCTATCATGTCCTCCCCTCGTGGGTACTAGTATTGACCTCTCATTAGAGCGTAAGCTTCCTGAGGGTAGGAACTGTCTTTCTTTCTGTTTGTATTTGTATTCCCAGAGCTTAGCACAGAGTCTGGCACACAGTAAGTGCTTAATAAATGCTTATTGATTGATTACCCTATTACTTAACCATCAAATGTATTTGTACTGTTTCAGAAAAGGGGGCAGCTAGGTGGCGCAGTGGATGACGCACCGGCCTTGGAGTCAGGAGGATCTGAGTTCAAATCTGGCTTCAGAGACATAATACTCACGAGTTGTGTGACCCTGGGCAAGTCACTTAATCCCACTGCTGAGCCAAAAACAAACCAACCAACCAAAAAAGAGATAATGTTAATTGAGGCATATTATTTCTTTTATATCTACTTTTTATTCCTCCTCACACCCTGCATAGTGCTAGATATATAGTAGATGGTTAATAATTTTCCCAATAAATGCTTCTTTGAACTGAATTTCACATCTGACAACAGCATAACTTAGTGGTACTAATGACAACTGAGGGTTGAAGACAGTTTTTAGTGCTTTTTATAATTTTTTCTCTGTGATCTAAGGTAAGTAGATGAATCTTTTTGTGCCTTGGTTTCTCAGTTTGTAAAATAGAGATAAAGATGCAAATGTTGCAAAGCCAATGGCTCTGTTTGTTCAACTGTGTGTCCATCTTTCTATTCACCTATCGAAGGAGGATTGATTTGGAGACTACATATCATGTCAAGCTTATTGATTCATTGGCCCAAACCCATCAGTAGTCACCACTGTCCAGCTGTCTGTTTGTCTCAGTGTGCAGTGCTGGGAGGTAAGTCAAGAATACTTAGCTTATCTTCACCCACCTCCCACATCAACCATGACCAACCACGGCCTTCTAGGCACCCAACTTTGCCCTTCTATGTCAGCAACCAAGTGTTAGCAAGAGATGAGTTGTAGTGTGGAAGTGAGCTTACTACAGCTAAGAAAAGTGGAGTGAAAGAGAGACAGGCTGAAGGTCAGCCTAGGTTGAAACCAAAATCCCAGCCCCATTTTGAGGGGAG